TACAGGTTGGGGTCATGATGGTGAACAAGTGTGCAAAGTTTCAAAGCCATATATCAATGGACTTTGAAAATATTTGAACTATTACAAAAACTTTAACGTAAATTCTAAGTCGAAAAAGGGGCATAATTCTGTCAAAATGCTTAATAGAGTTACCTCCTCCTGTCTACAGGTTGGGGTCATGATGGTGAACAAGTGTGCAAAGTTTCAAAGCCATATGTCTATGGACTTTGAAAATATTTTAACTATTACAAAAACTTTAACGTAAATTCTAAGTCGAAAAAGGGGCATAATTCTGTCAAAATGCTTGATAGAGTTACCTCCTCCTGTCTACAGGTTGGGGTCATGATGGTGAACAAGTGTGCAAAGTTTCAAAGCCATATGTCAATGGACTTTGAAAATATTTAAACTATTACAAAAACTTTAACGTAAATTCTAAGTCGAAAAAGGGGCATAATTCTGTCAAAATGCTTGATAGAGTTACCTCCTCCTGTCTACAGGTTGGGGTCATGATGGTGAACAAGTGTGCAAAGTTTCAAAGCCATATGTCAATGGACTTTGAAAATATTTGAACTATTACAAAAACTTTAACGTAAATTCTAAGTCGAAAAAGGGGCATAATTCTGTCAAAATGCTTGATAGAGTTACCTCCTCCTGTCTACAGGTTGGGATCATGATGGTGAACAAGTGTGCAAAGTTTCAAAGCCATATGTCAATGGACTTTGAAAATATTTGAACTATTACGAAAACTTTAACATAAGTGGTTACGCCGACGCCGACGCTCGGGTGACTGCAATAGCTCTTCTTATTCTTATCGAATAGTCGAGCTAAAAAGGGGCATAATTCTGTCAAAATGCTTGATAGAGTTACCTCCTCCTGTCTACAGATTGGGGTCATGATGGTGAACAAGTGTGCAAAATTTCAAAGCCATATGTCAATGGACTTTTAAAATATTTGAACTATTACAAAAACTTTAACATAAGTGGTTACACCGACGCCGACGCTCGGGTGACTGCAATAGCTCTTCTTATTCTAATCGAATAGTCGAGCTAAAAATTGCTGTGTCCCGTAAGGTGCCTAAACGTTTGTTCTGTTCCGTTCCGCAAAGTATAAATAGCCGTTATTAAACTCAAGCGCCTAACAAGGAAAATATTTTGCACGACAGTTATTTTTAATGTGCTGAACTTTTGTGCCAAGTCTTTACCAATACCTTATATCTATTGAACACTCTAAATATAACCTTGATTTTTCACAAAGGAATGTACTTTGTGTTCCATTCTGTATGTTGTATCCATGTATTTAACATTTATGCCAAAATATTTTCATTTCTCTTCATACTAAACACAAGAGCATTGCAGTCAAGATGAGAATGTGCCAATAGTGTTCAATACAAAACATGCACACAGGCTCCGGACACGAGTTTTGCGCTGACACCCAAGTGTGACCTTGACCTTTGAGCAGCGGACATGGGTTTTGTGTTGGACACACCACCCCATCATGGTTAACATTTGCACCAAATTATTTTGTTTTCTTTGAATGAGCAAGATATAGACCACACAAATCCGGACGGCTGCACAGATGCAAACTATACTATAAAAACTATACGCCAAAAGTGGCGACTGAGTCAAGCTCACCGCAAGGGGTGTTGACCGCAAGGGGTGTTGACAATAATTATGTTACCTTGAGCTTTACATAAGAACATATTTATTTCAAGATACCTCTCTGATCCAACACATCAAAATGCTTAAATGAGGTGGCACAAGAAAAAGTTAGACATGTACAGTTGTACACATATGGAGAATAATATTATTTTATTTTGCAAATATCTGAAGGCATAAACTATAACAATGTGATATCAAAATTTATTGAACAACATTTCAAATGATAATATCTAATCTACCTAACCAAGCAATATTTTAGTTGGTACAATGCTCATCTGTTTAGCATATGAGTGATGAAAAGAGATAATTTACTGACGTCAAAATATACCTGGAAAAGAAACAGTAAACAAAACTTTTACAAAATAAAGGTTTATTTAAGAGAGAAAAAACAGAGAAATTTTACATTTTCTTAACATTATAAATATGTAAACATCATCCTTAATTGAGGCATAATAACCTCAGGAGTAAATCTATTTTTTTCATGAGAACTTCCAAATGATGACACAATCCCAACATAAAGCTTATATTGTACATTGTTGAACAAGGAAAGTTTATAAGTTTACAATTTATGTAAAGATTATCTAATAAGCACATTTAAGATTATCTAATAAGCGCAATGGATGGTTCAATTTCAACCCCATTAATACAATTTGAAAAATATATATATATACTAGTATTGCATAAGACCATTTAATGAAGTAAACCAAGTAACATCATAGGCCAAGTGTTTTCCTTTAACAGTTTCAAATTTATGAAATTATCAAACTAAAGAAACTCTTAGACTTTGGCAATTTTATAACTACAGGCATAATCTGTTAAAACACATGAATATCAAAGCCCTCTCACTTAAAATATTAAGGACATGATTATAATTCGGTAAGATGTCAGTTTTAGTGCAAGATGTCAGTTTTGAGTATGTTGTTTAATAAATAATATATCCCAAACAGTGATTTTATCCCTCAATAACATCACTGTTTGGAGTTTGGATGCAGGAATTATATAATATATAATGATGCGCATCCCAACAACAAACAGTGATGTTATCAAGCTATAAAATCACCAATTTGGATATATTATTTCGATTCTAACACGACATCAACAAATAAATGCTGCCGTATCTGATATTTAGCAAAATTGCGCCTGATTTGTTTCCGTACTTATTTTAAGTGCGTTGGATTCTTTTAGTGGTTACGTCACAGGTCTAATGATTACGTCACATATCTAAATAAATAACATCAACTGTAACTCTATTGCATAATAACACACACTTTCGGTTCTTCTATATTCAATAGTGAAAAATGCGGGTCCTGTTAGAATTTACAATAAAGCACATTTAAAGTTCAAATGCACAGGAATATAATCACAAATGCCGTAGGACTTAGTAAATAATTACAAAGTTTTAAGTTTTTGAACAAGTAACCCTTTATCATAGTACTGCAATGCAAGAAAAATTAACATCTATAGTTTCTTTCTAATAGGCTAACATAAAAACAAATTGATAAAATACCCCTCAGCTGAAAATTTCTACTGTGCATTCGCTTAATTTCATAAGCATTAAATTTTGTGGTTTTGTCACAAAGAACATTTCCATGGGTTCTTAAATTTGATGACTGTTTATTTTTACAAAAGGTAAAATGTAAATAATGTGATGCAAGATATTACAGTTTACTTGGATCATAAATTTGTGGACTGACCAAATGATGAAAACCACGAACAAGAGCTGTCGGTAGGACAGCAACGCTCTACTATTCTTAGTGCTTGATAGTAAAAAAAAATGCTTGATAGAGTTACCTCCTCCTGTTTACAGGTTGGGGTCATGATGGTGAACAAGTGTGCAAAGTTTCAAAGCCATATGTCAATGGACTTTGAAAATATTTGAACTATTACAAAAACTTTAAAGTAAATACTAAGTCGAAAAAGGGGCATAATTCTGTCAAAATGCTTGATAGAGTTACCTCCTCCTGTTTACAGGTTGGGGTCATGATGGTGAACAAGTGTGCAAAGTTTCAAAGCCATATGTCAATGGACTTTGAAAATATTTGAACTATTACAAAAACTTTAACGTAAATTCTAAGTCGAAAAAGGGGCATAATTCTGTCAAAATGCTTGATAGAGTTACCTCCTCCTGTTTCCAGGTTGGGGTCATGATGGTGAACAAGTGTGCAAAGTTTCAAATCCATATGTCAATGGACTTTGAAAATATTTGAACTATTACAAAAACTTTAAAGTAAATACTAAGTCGAAAAAGGGGCATAATTCTGTCAAAATGCTTGATAGAGTTACCTCCTCCTGTTTACAGGTTGGGGTCATGATGGTGAACAAGTGTGCAAAGTTTCAAAGCCATATATCAATGGACTTTGAAAATATTTGAACTATTACAAAAACTTTAACGTAAATTCTAAGTCGAAAAAGGGGCATAATTCTGTCAAAATGCTTGATAGAGTTACCTCCTCCTGTTTCCAGGTTGGGGTCATGATGGTGAACAAGTGTGCAAAGTTTCAAAGCCATATGTCAATGGACTTTGAAAATATTTGAACTATTACAAAAACTTTAACGTAAATTCTAAGTCGAAAAAGGGGCATAATTCTGTCAAAATGCTTGACAGAGTTACCTCCTCCTGTCTACAGGTTGGGGTCATGATGGTGAACAAGTGTGCAAAGTTTCAAAGCCATATGTCTATGGACTTTGAAAATATTTGAACTATTACAAAAACTTTAACATAAGTGGTTACGCCGACGCGGACGCGGACGCCGACGCTCGGGTGACTGCAATAGCTCTACTTATTCTTATCGAATAGTCGAGCCAAAAATTACTTCCTCATGAATAATAATGATTTTGCAGTACTCCTGACATCATTTTATTGATGTCATAATATGACATGTAAACATTTCTTATATATGCTGTGCATATCATATGATAATAAACTGAACTGCCCATCGTGTTTGACAGGCAAATAACATGGAACATGTTGAAATAAAATAACATAAAAATTCTTTAAAAAAAAACATGTACAAAAAACTTGAAAAAAGTCTTTAATAAAATGTTCAATAATCATTTTAATAAAAAGAAATATTCAATAGTATCATTTAAAAAAAAATAAGAAATAGTCTTTAAAAATCATATATTCATTAATTAAAACATCAAGTCTAAATCAGAAAATACAAAACATGTCAAGCAAGCTTAAAAATTTCAACATGATTTATGTGTAAGATAAAAATTCAAATAGGTCTGGTCTTGTTCCAGTATTTGATGCTAATTTACTGTCTTACAGTGCCATAGTATCAATTACTCAAGTCATATCAAGATAAAATTATATAAAATTGTTCATATGAAATGTGTATGCTATCTTTTTCCTTCATTTCTTCTTGAAGAACTGCCTGAGGGATGTCTAATCTTCGGGGCTGAGCGTTGTCTGGGCGGGGGCATGTTTTCTGTTTCAGCATGGCCAGCGTGACCCCTGCTTATTGTCTGGTGTTTCTTGCTGCCTGCACACATTGTTTTTAACATCTGTAACACTGCCTGCGGAGATACATTCATCTTAAGAAGGTCTAATATGATTCTGAAACATAGAATAATTATAGAATATAGTACAACTCTCAAAGTCATGGAAAAAAGTATATATTAAAACTATTTAACTTACTTTCAAATTAACTAAACTTTCAGACAAATGATATTGGTCAGGACCTATATATCAAATAGAACATAAATATATGTAAAAAAATATTAATGGCCCTGTCAAGTCTAATAAAACCTCAATGAAATCCCTTTAAAGTAACAAACACTATAAATGCAATATCAATACTTTCTAACTTTAGACTGAAATTGTTATGTGTCCATGAATTCTGGTCTAGTGTTTATTGTTTATCTATTTTGGGTTTTACGTTACATTGACACAGTATAGGTCATATTGCGACGTTCCAGCTTTACTGGTGGAGGAAGACCTCAGGTGCCCTTCGGTGCATTATTTCAGGCACGAACAGGCACCTTAGTAGAACCACCGACGTTCTGTAAGCTAGCTGGATAGCTTCCTCACATGAAAGAATTCAAAGTCATTGTCGGGATTCGAACCCACAGCGGTGAGGGGCAAGTGGTTTGAAGTCAACGACCTTAACCACTCGGCCACGGACGCCCCCTGGTCTAGTGTAAGAAATTCCTAAGTTTTCTTTAATAATAGACAAGTGTTGTTTATTGTTAAATTGTCCCTGAATAACTGGTAAACTTTCAGTTCTACTGAAGCTCTCTCACAAATAAGCAAGAGATCAATGTTTAAGCTGACAGCTTATATTGCCTAATTATAATAAACAGTTGTCAGCAAACAATGAAAACAACCTTTCAAAAAAACATAATACATACCCAGTTGTATTATTCAATATTACGCATAAATGACTAAAATACATGAACAAATAATATCTTTATATTTAATATTACACATTGTATAAATGAATATAAAACTTTACTTGAAAGTTGCTGGTTCCATCAAGACACCTGCCAGTTGACATAATTCATATAATTCCAGTTCATCTAATGTTAACACATTCTTGCTGGTCAACTGAACATTCATAGTGTGTGACACCCTGGAAGACATCTTGAAAGAATTTCCTGAAAAAGTTAAAAATAGAGAATTTATTTCCATAAATTGGGATATGTGTATTTTATGATATGTTATGATGGTACACAGTGCCCTGTTAAAATGCTAGTCTCCGTGGTCGAGGGGTTAGAGTCGATGACCTCTAATCCAGTTACCAGTTACTTTCTCTGGCGTGGGTTTGATCCCCGGGAGATGCTTTGGTAGTTTAACGCGGAGGAAGGTAGTCTAGTACTGGTGTAACTCTCCAGGAACGATGGTTAGGAAACTACCCGCCTATATGACTGAAATACTGTTGGAAAAAGGCGTAAAATGAAACAAACAATTTCAACAAACAAACAAACTCTTTCTAATGTTCATGAGTCTTGGCTTATAGTTATATAGGCTTTAACATTAGATGCCATTACATCATCTATGAACTTAAACAAGTTTTAGAAAGAGATGTAGCTCTTCCAGAAATAACAGGGTTGAATAATAATACCAAAACTTCAATGTAGTCTATAGCTGTAGAGTTTAAAAAAATAAATATCAAGAAAATTCTTTGAACAGATATCCACGTCCTTACTTTTTACTTGATTTAATTTTCTTAGTATTTAGGTACCGTACCTCAGAAATTTGGGATAATGCACACTGTGGGACCAGTGTTAATCTATCGAGGCAGACAATAGTTTGGGACTGGGCAAACTGAATTTTGGGACAAGGAGGACCATGACTCAAGATGAGGCATATTTATAACGCTTTTTGTATTTCAGGGCCTTTCCACCCTATCACCTAGGCAGGGCCGAAATGAGGCCCCAGTCCCAATCAAAAATAGCCCCTTTTTTCCAACTTAAAAGAAAAAATCCAAACCACTGCCAAAATATCAAATTGTTTAAACTTTTGAGAAAAATTAAACTGTTTTCACGTGTTTCTAAAAACAACGGGCAAGTTATATATGAATCATGATCAAACACATGTTAAAAAACTTCATAAAACACATATTAAAGTCAGGTTTTCAACTTTTTAATATGTCCCAAAATGTTGAATAATTTTTCTATACTAGGGGGCCTTCCCCAAAATTTCTGGATAAGGCCGTTTTTTTCCTAACAGGACAGCTGCTTGTATTCTGTTGTGTATAGATATTATGCAAATAAATGAAGATAAAATCATATTGATAAAAAAACTAGTTTGAAAATATACGTCTACAAACTGCAAAATTAATATAAAATTCATTTTAAACGCCATATTTTATATTTCTAAATTTTATAATCACTTCCGCTTCCTCTCTCTCACATTGAAAATACTAAAGTGAGCGAAAGTAAGATCTCTGAACTGGTATATAGAAGTAATGAAAATGCATGGATATTAAATCATCATAATGATTTTTTTTTTAATATATTTTATTAATTTCTGAAACAATGCGTCTACAAACTGTTATATTAATATAAATTCAAATTAAACAGTTCTTTATAAGTCAATATCTTATTTTTCAATGTGAGCGAAAGGAAGATCTCTGTTACTATGTATAGAAATTATGCAAATAAATGGTGATTAAATCATCATAATGATTATTTTTGAAAATAAATATAAGTAATTTCTAATAATATACGTCTACAAACTGCAGTTTTATTGTAAAAATCTATCAAAGCGCTAATAGCGCTTGATCTTTGCTGTGGTTGGTTATGACTAGTTGTTGACATCTTGGATGATAACATGAATTATAGCCTATAATTCATGTTATCATCCAAGATGTCAACAACTAGTCAAAACCAACCACAGCAAAGATCAAGCGCCTTTCTAGAAAAAAGAAGAGAGCATTCTAGAAAGCCCAGTGCCCAGGGACAGCAGACGACATCAAGCGGTACAAAGACCTTCAAAACACTATGAATGTCGTAAGGCAAACCAAGCTTATGTTAGAGACATGGTTACAGAAAACCCTAAGAAGCTCTACACTTTCATTAAAGGGAAGCGGTCTGACAGCACGGGAATCTCTCCACTAAAAATGTGATGGTATGACTCACAGCGATCCAAGTAAGAAGGCTACAAATTAACAATATTGAACAAACAGTTCACTGGGGTGTTCACTACAGATGATACAACAGACGTGCCAGCCATGGAGGGATAAAGATACCCAGACATGCCACACTTCACAGTAGGAGCTGAGGTTGTCAAGAAACTTCTCCTCAGCCTCAACCCCCATAAGGCCTCTGGTCCTGACAATATACCAGCACAATTCCTGAAGGACTATGCCGAAGACATTACTCTGGCTCTCACCCTCTTGTTCAACGCCTCTTTGCAACAAGGAACAGTACCTTCAGTCTGGAAGAAGGCAAATGTATCACCTATCTTCAAAAAAGGTGACAGTAGCAACCCCGCCAACCCATTTCCCTCACATCAGTATGCAGCAAACTCCAAGAACACATCCTAAGGGCCAAATTATGAAACACCTTGACCACCACAACATCCTTTCAGATCAACAACATGGATTAAGAAAACAATGCTCAACTGAAAGTCGGCTTCTTCTCACTCGTTCACTCAAGGGGAACAAGTAGACGCCATACTACTAGACTTCAGTAAGGCGTTCGTTGTTGTGCCTCACTAACGACTCCTTTCCAAGGTGGATCATTGCGGCATCAGAGGGACAGTCAGAAGCTGGACTGAGAGCTTCCTGTCTGACCGCAGCCAACAAGTTGTCGTTGAAGGCCATTCATCTGCATCCTCCCCTGTTACATCCGGGGTACCCCAGGGGACAGTACTAGGTCCTTTACAGTTCCTCCTTTACATCAACGACCTACCAAGGTGCGTGACTTCCATCAGCCGCCTATTTGCTGACGACAGCCTGATCTACAGGAATTTGAGCAGTCAACCTTGAGGCCTTCAAGGGAAGACTAGTCATGGGGCCCTTATATGCCGGGGTTGATTTTATTTTTAACATGTTCTTCTTTTAAATCTGTACTTATTCGCAGCATAACACTTTGTACATACACCCTGTATGTCAATGGCCAAGAGTGGGTTATGTACAGTATTGGAAGAAGAAGAAGACTTTGCTCACTTTCGCTCACTTTCATCAAAAAAGTCACTTTCGTATTTTAGGCATAGATTCTACCAAATAAGAGTTAATAATACTTTATTTGGATTTATTTTCAGACAAAGTAGAAAACTAGATAAACACAAATATGATATCACATGTATTACTTAATTATAATTGACAAATAATTGCTTGATTAACACTAAAATGTGTTTCTTTAGTCACATCGTTTAATATGGGTCGAAACATACTGAGGTCGAAACGTTACGTTATCGGATTAGAATCATCTGAATCGTCTTAGATACGCCTTATTACTGAAATGAAAATTATAGAAATGTTGTAATCAAAGAAATGCGGTTTATTTTGATAATTACCCTGTCTGATGTAAGCTATATACTTCTATAATTTCAATTCCATGCCGAAATTTTTGTTATTGTTTGTGGTCCATTGTTTACCCTTTTTTTCAAAAGTTACTTCCCCTGTTTGCAAACAGGAAGCCGACAGGAGTAACCAACCTTGGCATTGACAGCGTCCTTGACCTTAGTGATTTTTGACAGTCTGATCTTGGAAGTGATTTCTTCACCATTAAGCGTGCTTTCTCGGTTGGTAAGTAAAATTAAACTTTTTGTGATATAAGCATATTAGATTTAATTTGATTTTATGTTTGAAATACTTTTTTAATTCGGAAATGAATTATTAGAGCTCTATCAAGAAATTGATGTTGCTGATGCCGGGTGTTTCTTTGCAGAATCTGACCTTGAATTGATAGGATGATCTGATCTGATCACACGTAATATTTTATATTAACAGAATATGCCACTGCAGACTTTATAATATTTGAGATCTTATTATTTATCTTTTAAATTATAAATATCTTTATTTACAGATAAATTGCTACCATTTTTTCATGAATTAGCTAGATTTCTACATTTTAATTTTTAGGACACACCGTATTGGCTAGCCGTACAGCACTTTTCAAAATTATATTGAAGTCGAGAAAGCACATGTTATTTTATTACTTTTAGCGAGGATTTTAACCAAGAAACAGCAATTGTCTACGTATCTTAACTGTTTAGAGGTTAATCGCCTTGTTGGCTACAGCAAAAAAAGTATGAATATCGATCTAATAGCATTTTGTCAGAGTTAAATAGTATCAATTGAAATAGTTTACAAAACTTTGATGATGATCTTTTTTGTTTTATTAAGTTTAATTTTCGACACCTTTGAAATGAAACAAAAAAAAGTTTAATTTTCGACACCTTTAAAACAGGGTCTTTCAAATAGAATGGTCTGGAAACACGCTATGTAAACCCTTCTCGCTACAATAATACATGTCTCGTATAAATCGGTATAGTTTGCTATAAACAAATTATGTAAGTGTTCAAGAAAAGGGCGAATATTAAATACAAGAGCAAAAATGAAAATTTTAACGACATGACGTTATTTAAAAAATCTTTAAACTTTTGAAAAAAGGATAAATATTTCAGGAAATGATGTTTTTTAAAGCCATTTTTGTTAAAAAACATAGATTGTTTGTTCAGAATATTTGCCGATAATCGGCGCCATTTTGAAAATGCACCAAACTAAACATCAAAATATTTCCAAATTACATTGTGAAATATTATAATATTTTTACATGATCCGATTTAATAACATCTTTTCTCTGTTAAAATCAATTTCTATTTTGTCATTGAAACAATGCATGAATGTAAAAAAGCTCATGAAACTCGGACCTGTCTTCAAATATGAGCAGTAGATTTTTACCTTGACACCGGGAACGTAAAATTTCTAATTTCATTGCAAATCTATAAAATTGTTACTTTTAAAGTAAAAACTGATAATATAATGTAGTCAGAGTTAGTTTTTAGTATTTTTTTATTGATTTAACAAAACATTATCTTGTAATTTGTTTATTGAATGGTGATGTGCTATGCCATATCACGGTCGGTAGATAACCCAATCACGTGACTCAACCGAGACAGCATTTTTCGTAAAATTGGTCTGTCTCCAGACCATTCTATTTGAAAGACCCTGTTTAAAATGAAACAAAAAAAAACCCCGAAAATTATTGTTGTTAGGAACTTAGGCTAGGATAATTGCGTCAATTACCGATGGTATCTAGAAGTTTGTTAATACACGGATTTATATTACAATATAAATCCGTGATTGATATAAGGAAAGTTTACATGTTCCGTGAAACGCATTTTAAAATTCTATTGTCAGTCCCTGGGTAGGCTTTAAGTAATGCTAATTGCTTTTATGTTTGATATTTATCTACTGTATTTGAAAATTGATTATTATACAATTATTTTTGCTTTTCACCGTTTTTTTTTTTCAATGTTCTTTTTATTTATTCCACTCCGATCATTATATAGGCCAATTATTTATTCGATCTATGTGCTTACTTATAAAAATATCATTTTTCATACAAATAAAACAACAAATCATAAATATGAGGCACAAAATAACATATGCATGTTCGTCTTCCATATATTTTTGAAAAGTGCCGTACGGCTAGACAATAGAGCGAGTCCTGGCTAGTCATACGTGACTCAAGTACAGCTAGAACTTTTGGTTAGCCGTACGGGCCCGTACATGTCATGTACGGCTAGCCACTTCCTAATTTTTAAAGAGAGTGGCCTAGGCTCTAAATCTCTGGAAGCTTTAGGGTTTAGTTAAATTTCATAATGATGAAGTTTGTGTAGTAGTTCAGACCTGAGCTTGTCAATGACGCGATGCATATCTACTGGTAAGCTTCTTTTAAAAGCCATTTGGACAATTCAGATTGACAATCTGTTTTTTCGCTCTTTGTTTTTCTCTCATTCACTGCTCTTTTTGATAATTCTACGGCAGCCCTTGATAATCTGTACTTGCACACCTGCCATTTAGTGAAGATCTGTGACAGACAGTGCTGACTTTTAACTGCATGCACACATTATTCTATCTCTTGCTGTTTTTGTGTATAAATTTATATGCATGTAATACAGGGTCTATATATAGATGCAACATTGCATTAAATATTTTACTTAATATCAAGTACTGATTCAGATTAAAGTTAATTGCAGTGAATTAATATTCAGCTGTTAATGTGTATCACTAATTAAGTATAAGTTACATGTACATGTATGTGCAGGCGAGGATTAAATTTATTGACAAGCACTGTGCAGTGTAAGAAATAAGGATTTGAAACCACTAGGCTGGTCGGACTACCAGATTGGAATATTCAATAGCCCAAAAGACATTGCACTAGTACAATTCAATTGTTCAAAACAGTTGTTTATATTGCCTCTGAAAATACAGTAGTCTGGTTGGGCTTGTTACTTTGAAAAGTTGGTAGCCCGAGGAGAAATTTAGTAGTCAGGGGCTATAGGACTAGTGTTAATTTTGAACACTGACTGTGTGTTACATAAAAATTTGTGAGTGGAAAAGCTGGTCAAATTCAATGTCACTTTGATGTTCAAACTCAGGCAAGTTTAGTATCTAAAGGCAACTTTGCCGCTCAAAGCATCCATTTTTGCTAGAGCCCAGGTTTTTTCCCTGAACGATAATGCTTTAAAATTATGGCGTTTTCTCCTCAAATTTAATTTACATCATTTCTTTCTCCCCTTTGGGCAAAAGTTTCCTTCTCCCAATTTGTGAAAGAAAAAACCTGCTACAAAAGCAGGGATATTGTGAAACAATTTTTTCATGTAAATCTCTTGCTTGATAACTTACTAGTATTCAGGAAGAGCAAAGTATTCCTTCTTAAGTTCACTTTGCATAAATTTCAGGATCTCGTTAAGATATAAGAAAAAAATGGTTTTAACTATTATCCATCATCCATGTGTCCATTGAAATAAAGAATTAGTAGAATAGAGTTTCTTAGAATGTATGTCTTAGTTGTAAGATGGTCTTAACTGTGGTGCAGTCAGAGCGTTTCTACTGTATTATATCTTGTTATTTTTAAAATAACCACTAGCAATTTTTGCTGCATAATTGTAGCTATCAAGTATGGGCTGACATAGAGCCAGACATATAATGCAAATGTAAGCACTGTGATTACCTTTGATATTTTTTTTTTTTTTTTTCTTCAGCATATGTTAAATTTAAAAATGGAATTTATTAACAAAAAAGATTGGTCTGTCAGAACCTATATGATTTGATTGTATTACAGGCCAAGCATTAAAGACAAATTTTAAAATGTCTGCCAAATTCCCTCAGTACTTGACACCAGAGCAGGAGGATGAACTTCGCCAGATAGCCAATGCAATTGTAGCCCCTGGCAAGGGAATTCTAGCTGCTGATGAGTCAACAGGTATTGTATAATAATATATTTGTGTTATTAATTTGTTCAATTTTTTGTTTTCAAGTGAGTAGTGTAAGGAAAAGAAAGTTGTTTTAGACTGTTTCCCGGTCACTAACAGAGAAATTGGTAATTACTGTTCACTTATGGAGACATTGGTAATTACTGGTTAGTTATCCAGGAAAGCCAGTTAGGTTGATCATCGGCCAAGATACAACCAAATATTAATTTAATGTGTTAAAAGTGAGGTAAATATCAGTCAAACCAAATACTGTTTTATATACTTTTCTAAGATTTTTAAAACAAAATAACGCCATATATTTAATGATTTTACAATGCATTTCAATTTGATTTAGCATCACTGCCTACAGTGGAAATGTGTGTTTGTATCTGTTCAATTGCTCAACCAATATACAATCTCATTAAAACCATATCCTAACTGATGTGCCACTACAATACTTTTGACTACGAAGGGTAATGTATCACAGCGAAAATGGTGATCTGATTTTAATCATAAAAAAGTTATGAGGAAATCAATTCAGAGGAAAGCTTTGTGTAACACTTTAATGCTTAATAACATGACAACAACATAGAATTGTGTATTATTATTTTGCTTCCCTTTCTGCATCGCCAGATACCCACAGTTGATTAACATGTACACATAACATGTAATCAACATCTGATAAAATGAATGGTCTGGCCGTGGGTATCTGACGATAACCTTTCTGATATTGATTTGAAAATATATGATCTTACAATGTATATTGTACATAATGAAAGAAAATATAACATGTAAATATCTATCATTTCGCTTATAACATGTACAAAACACAAACAAATTGCAACTAACTCGTACTGTATTTGTTGATAACAGGTTCCATGGGAAAACGTCTTGGTCCAATCAATGTGGAGAACACAGAGGAGAACAGGAGACGATACCGTGAAGTGTTGTTTACCAGTGATGCCGTTGTTGCCGAAAACATCAGTGGTGTCATCATGTTCCATGAAACATTCTACCAGAAAACCAAAGACGGTAAATTGATATTTGATATTGATCATTTTAACAATTATACCTTTGGAAGAAAACGGATGTTGAATTATATCAAATGAAGAATCAAAATTTATTCAACTTGAATAAGGAATGTCACTGGTTTTTTTTCCGGTGTTTGCTTGAACATGTTTTATGCTCAGAAGGGCTTATCACTGTCTTAAGTCTTAAATAAAAGCTGGAAGGTTGCTTTAAGACCTTAACAGTGTTGTTGTGATGTAAAATGATCCAGGATCGATTATCTGATTTGTTATTACTTCTCCGTTTTAATCTGTAGCATTTCTTAACTTTTCCATATCAAATCAATACAGTTCATACTTGAATCTTGCCTTTACAGGCTGTGGGACTACTTGGGCAATATGGACTGTTGATTTTACTGTCCCTAAAAGCCTTGTCAAAGTAGTTATGAAATGAGTGGACTTCTTCATTCGTCATTTAAGATTAGTTAAAATATAGCTTAAAGTATATAAAGCATATATATGATGATGTATAACATGGGAAATGAATCATACGGTTACCTTTATGATAATGGTCTTCATTGATTAAATGATTTATTGTCAAGTTACAAACTACCATCAGTTCTTTGTTTTCTTCATTGCCCCATTTTTCATGTGTACTTGAAAGTGGTTGATGCGTTTTCTTTTATATATGTATATACAATGTAGTTAAGTGCCATCATGCCCTTTGCTTTTACTGTTTTGCCCCAAAGTACTCATAAGTGAGATATGTTACAAAGTTGTTTGATGGACTGATTCTGTATTTCAATTGTTTCCTCTTATCAAATTTTAGGTAAACCATTTGTTAAGCTTCTCCAAGAAAGAGGAATCATTCCAGGCATCAAGGTTGACAAGGGAGTTGTCCCCCTTCTTGGCACAGATGATGAATGCACAACACAAGGTATTGAATTATTTAGATACTACAGAAACCATATCAATCACACTTTCTGCTGTATCATAAGCCACTTAACATTTGACACCTAGTATACATGTGTACCTTATTTTAAGATGAAATAAACTGCATCTATGGTTAGATCCATAATTGTTGAATATGTATATGTTTAATCCATGATGTATGTTATTAATAACTCACATGTGACTTTCTGATTGATTGATTGATTGATTGATTGATTGATTGATTGATTGATTGATTATTATGAAACTTTTAAACATTCAGATATATTCTATTCAGTCAAATTCTTGGAAGATTAAACATATAAATGTACTTTGTTACATTTCTTGCAAGGTACATGAAATAGCAATAACTTTAAACAATTAATCTTTTAAAATGAGTTAGATATATATGAATATATTTATAATATATTTATCAGTGATAAGAATGTTAGTAAGCGGTTTAAACTGGTCATATTACAACAGGTTTGGACGGTTTGTCTGAAAGATGTGCCCAGTACAAGAAAGACGGTGCACAGTTTGCTAAATGGAGATGTGTATTGAAGATTGGACAGTACAACCCCACATACCAGGCCATGTTGGAAAATGCCAATGTCCTTGCTAGATATGCTATGATCTGTCAACAGGTTAGTCCCGATATGTTATGTTGTACCAAAATACCACCATTTTAATTTTTTATGTGGTATATACATGTATTTATAGTGGCCATCAGAAACCCATAGGAGAGCCTCACTGTATTAGATTGTTAGGAATTTATGTGTTGAGCATTTATGCATCTAAAACATATAGAGAAATGTCTTCATTTATGAAGAAACAAATGGTCATTTAATGGTGTAAAGCAAAATTGCATGTCTCCTTGGTTTTTTATCATTGACTATTGGTAAATTTTGGTTGTAAAGCTGAGGATCAAATTTGAGATTCCTTGATTTAAAAATTGTTTTATCTTAGAAGTATTATTTAAGACTTAAAACCTGAACAAAGCAATTACTGTCATTGTGTTGATACCTTGTGATATTTAGGGTATGGGACACACATAACTTTTGACAATTCAGTTATGTTTTTTATCAATATCTTTGCTGTTACCCCACTGATTTTGACAAGATAATATGCAGAGTACCAGTAACTGTACAAGCTTATCGAAATTGAGAAAGCACCTAAAAAGGTTTTTAAAGAGCATGCCTGCATCAGGCAAAATGTCTTTAATATCACATGGTATTGCCACATTGACCCTGATATCAAGGAAGGATTTCTTTATGAATTAAAAAGTCTATCCCATCAATAAGTTAGACTGGGAGGTAAAACTGTTGAAGAGGAAATTATTGAGATCAATAAAAATACACATAAGCTTGAAAATGAAATGCATTATGATGTGATAAGTATAATTTTTTTAAAAGAACAATCAACATGTCCTTCAGTTATATGTATATTGTACAATAATTACAAAAAGTATCTGGTATAATATACATGGTTTTTAGCATAATGATTTGTAACCTGTCACACAGTTTGTCAATGATTTATATACCTGTACAAAAATCTGAGCATTCCAACCTTTTTTTCCTTTATACCTTATTACAGTTGAGATGTTTATATTTTTTTTGGAGTTTTAGTTTTGAGTCACACACTGACACAGTTAAGGTCATATGGCAACTTTCCAATCTGTTTATTGATTAAGATTGCAGACACTTCTCAATGCACTATTTCAGGCATGATAGTAGAACTAGTAAAGTAATGTCAGGTAAAAAGTCAGGTACAATGGGGGTTAAAACTATTAGGAAACCTTCCTCATTCAGATTCCTATGAAGAAAAAAACACAACAAATAACATATAAGTGTGTCCCTGGCAGAATATGAACCCAAAGCTTAGGTTAACTATATAGGCAGTGATTTTAACTCAGTGGGATAAACCACATGTCAGCTGAAACATTGTTTATAGTATTGATTTAAAAGACACCATTTTAATAAAACTTACAATATTTTATCCACATCTTTCATTATTAAGACTTAGAATTGTACCTGATCTTTATCTCATTTATGATTAATATAACCGTAAGATCATAAAATATTGGTAAGGTATGTTTTAGTATTTAATAGATGAGTTGTAAAAATGGAGCAACAAAATTTTGTTTAAAAATTGTTATTATAACTTTTTACTTAATGCTGATGGTGTTGAATGAGTTACCAATGCTATAAACATAAATTTGACATAACTGATAATTGGCCTCTATACTGTAGGCAGATCCATTTTAGATTTATTGATTAAAACCCTCAGAAAATAACAATGGACACTTCTGAATATTAAACAGGGAAATTCAAGTATGTATTGGCATAGGGATTACATAAGCATACAAAATCTGTTTTAGAAAAGAAAGAAAAATTGTCATCATATTAAAAGATTTTTTTTCCAATATTTATTGAGATTTAATGTCTAAAAGATGTTAAGTTATTTTATAGAGCAACAAGAAAATCATTCATGAAAATGTGCTATTTTTAAGTCATTCTACGCAAATTGGCCAATTTATATTAAAAAAAAACAACAACAAAATAAAACGTTCTGATAATGAAATTTATTTTACAAATTAAAGTAAAGGTCATAGTAAACTGTGCCAAATTATGTATGAAAATGTTAAAACCAGTGCAACACTTATTATATTTATTATATTACTTAACATTCTGATCTTAAGCCTACATTGCAAGTTCACATACATATGTTGTACTGCATATATCACATATAATATATGTGCCAAAACTCCACGAGGAACACCACATTTTTTTCCTGCAAGGTAATCAAGATATGTTGATAGCACAGGTTCAGGTAGTAAGTAGGGAATAGGCAGAGTGCCAACTTCTGCATATTTATTCAATAGGAAGTCTGGGGGTAATTTTTTTCTATCAGAAACTTAGAAGAAAGTCTTATTAATGATTGATTTTTTTGTCTGTTGTCTGCCTGAATTCATTTGACCTTCGTAGGCACATACATTTGTATAATGACATTGGGAGTTATACATTTATATATAGGTAGTGTAAGATGCTGCAGGAAAATTTGCTAGTATATAGGGTACAATGGTAGAGATTGATATGTGAGATAAGCCCTGGGAGAGAATATATAATTCACACAGGTAGATCAAATGTATACTGACGAATATATAAGTCAAGGGTTCAACATACATTTGTCTAATGTGATGAACTCAAAAGTACATTATTTATACAACACTATTGTATGTTATGAGGAAGTGTATTTTTGCATATAGCATTTTGTGATGCCATATCAAAATTTGTTAAAAAGTGGAATCTAAAAGGTTTCATTTTATAATAATGATAAAAAAAATCTAGATAATATTTCTTGGAAAATGAATAAATCAGCACAGTCCTTATTATTTCATGTGACATGCTTTACAAAATATTTTAGATAAAAGGAACAGGCTTACAGACAAAAGAAACAAAAATATGAATAATTATTAAAAGTATCTTGAGAGTTTATTTCTAAGAAATGATAACATGTATATTGTTTAAATGAAAGAATAAAATGAAAAATGAGTGGGATTTTTTTCCTGGGGGGAGGGGGTGGGGGGACCAAGTACTAATACTGCTTATTTTGAAAGTAAAAAACCTGGTGTAAGTTCAGCTGTTTGGGAAAACTGCAACTTTCAAGAACATTTTAATTGGGAAGAGGCCTTTTATGTAGGCCCCTAAGAATAATCACTGTGACCACATGTACTTGAAGTAATGCACTAAGTGAGTGGTTTATAAAGTTTTTCTCCATCATATAAACCTGTAAATATGCAACATATACATAATATGACCCGAATTGTTCAAATTTGACTTAAATGAAAGACTACTTTAAAAATTTCAAGATGGAATGGGATCTTATGTAGTTTAAATGAATGTTATTTATACTTTTCAGAATGGTTTAGTACCAATTGTTGAACCTGAGGTATTACCTGATGGAACACATGACCTGAGAACTGCAAGAAAAGTCACTGAGCAGGTAAATATGTTCACGAAATATATACAGAAAATAGCATTAGAAGCTAAAATTAGAATAAAGTTTCTACAGATTTGTCCCCCTTTATCATCATCTAGTTAGGACTGATATTCCATGAAGAATGATTGTAATGGTTTTACATAGAATTTATTTCATTAAAGGCACATTATGCCTCAGAAACAAATAATATTATAGTTTGGCCTATAGTTAGAAAGGCCAAACACTAATCTTATTATTTGTAAATGATGGTTTAACAGAAACATAAGATTCTTCTTACCTGAAAAAGCAGTGATAAATGTGAAAGAATTTGTAAAAAAGTAGCAAATTATAAACAGAGTAGTATTTTGACATCCATACAAAATGCTTATTCAATATCACTGCACTTGTTGCTCAAAAGCAACAGATGAAAGAGATGGGTCTGGTAATTTGCCAAAGATCAGCTTTTTGAACACTATAAAAGTACATCAAAATTTAAAAGATTTTAAGTAATAAAAATAAAAAAAATTATGAGGCATGATGGGCCTTTAACTTTACAGTATATGTTACATGATATTTCATAGAGTTTGCAGAATTAAATTTATAAAGTGTACAGAAAAATGACATAATATTACATTAAATGTACATAAATACAATATCAACTTTCACGAAAAAATTTATCAGAAAATAATATATATCTTAACAATTTTCACACCCTTTAGATTCTGATGCACAATTTTCATGTTTCATTTGTTAACATTTTCTATACTGTCTGCCATAGCTTATAAATAGACTATTGTATGGCAAGACACAAAGTTTAGCTTACTTGTTTCTTAAAATATTTTTAGGTGCTCGCTTTCCAATACAAAGCTCTTGCTGATCATCATATTTTCCTGGAAGGAACTCTTCTTAAACCCAACATGGTGACCCCAGGACAGAGCTGCCCAAACAAGGCAACAGCAGCTGAAATTGCTAAAGCCACAGTTACAGCATTGAGCCGCGCTGTGCCACCAGCAGTTCCAGGTTTGTTCATACTTCTCTATCCAGTTTAATCACTGTTCAGATCACTTGTACCTCAATTAGTAACTTTATGCGAGAAAATCTAGTCACATGTTTATGACTGGCATCCAAGATATTTACATATTATTATTTTGATGCAATTGTTTTAGAGATCGGCAGAGTTTCAGGCCCTTGATTAAGCACTGAATAGCCATTTTAAACCTTTGTTAAGACAAAACAGTGGAATGAGTGGTTCTATGGACAGATTTCTGGTTTCATACTAAATTTTTGTTCAGAGTATAACTTTAAATCAATATGATGTATCATAATTAAACTTTTTAATATCTTGGTGATAAAGTGGCATTTGAAGGGCATTTGCATAAGAACAGTTTTTGGTTTATGTATAAAGTGTAAAAAGTATATTAAGAAAAAGGCACAAAAAGGTATTTAAGTAGTGTTTGATAGGGAGAATTAAAAAATTAAAAAGAGGGTATGTAGGATGACCAGAAACAGAATTTTATTTTATTTGCCTATGCATCATTTTTTGGCCTGAAATTTATTTTTTGGCCTAAGCCTCGTTTTTTTGGCCTGAAGTTGTTTTTTTTGCCTAAGCTTTATGTATATGGCTATAATATTTATGTTATTTTTCAGGAATCACATTCTTGTCTGGAGGTCAGTCAGAAGAGGATGCATCCATCAATCTGAGCGCCATCAATGCTTACTCCGGACGCAAACCATGGGCATTAACCTTCTCTTATGGTAGAGCTTTGCAGGCTAGTGTTTTGAAAGCTTGGCAAGGAAAAGATGAGAATGTCAAAGCCGCACAAGCAGAATTGTTAAAGAGAGCAAAGGTACTTAAGTTAAAGAATTTTATATTGATTTGAAAGGGTGAACTAGGATTTGCAGATCGTAAAAGTAAGCAAAAAGATTACTTGCTTTCTTTTATCATGAACCATTAGTGAAATCTTTTCTCTTCCAGTAAAGCAGGAAGGTCTGTGTATAAGTCGTAATTGATGTGTGTGTTAAAAAACAACCTTTCTTTCCAAAATAAACAAATCTTTAACATATAGTTGCGAACTTTATAGAATTACATTTTCTTTGTAAATATAAATAACATTTATACCTATCACGTATAACATGTTTATATTTAAGCTCATTTGTGTATCAAATTATTGTAAATTATACTAATCATTTTCTTTAAGGCTTCCTGGAACTATCAAGGGTTAAAGTTTATAAAGAAATTTTCTAAGCTCAAACTCAGATCTCCATTATTTGACTTTGTTCAGAAACAAGCTTAGAATGAACATTGAATAAAAATCATGAGATTTGAAACTGAACTTGGAAAAAATTTATAATATGATATATAACCTCAAGGCTATCATATGAGGAAGCCTTGATGTGACCTAAGTATGGCTGGAACATTTGATTCTACTTTGAAAGGCAAACTCCTGATCCATTATGTCACGGCCTAACAAACCAACCCAATCCCTCTTAGGGCTTGAACATTTGATTCTTGGTTGAGAGGCAAACTCCTTAACTATTTTGCCATGGTTTAAACAAAACAAACCAACCCAACCCCTTGTAGAGGTGTTGGCTAATTATATATGTTTAATAATGTAATATTATTTTCTATCTTTTCAGGCAAACGGTCTTGCTTCACTCGGACAGTACAAGGGGGATATTGCCAGTGCAGCAGCCGACCAATCGTTATTTGTAGCTAAGCACGCTTACTAGAGACATTGAACAAATAAATGTTAAAGATAATATCAACACTTTGTTAAAGACTTAAATTATGAAGTCAGTTAAGAAATAGTGAAGAATTTTGACATTTTTAATTGTTGTTTTTTTTTAAAATGCTTTGTTATGAATTTCCGCTTTTTTCCAGTATATACATGTACAGTACTGTAACATTGGTCTAGAATTACTTTCACCTGTTTATTATTGTTAGATCAACTCTTTAAAAAAACAGTATTTTATTATTTTTATCTGTGTCTGTGTTTTATATTTATTTTTTTGTACAAAAAATGGCCATAAGTGAAGATTCTTTGTATTTTTATGCAGGATTACTGGCTACTCACTGAGAATAGTTGTTGGAATTAAATTTTACACCAAAATGAAAAAATATGAATTTATTGGAATTTTTATACATGTGTGTGTAAAAAAATGCTTGTTTATAAGATAGGAATGGATTTTTAGCATAAATTGAGAATTTAATATATACATGTTTACATGTCACTTTATTTCATATCAAAGTTGATATTGTATTTTATCACACTTAAATTCCATTCCTGCTTTATTTAGTTCTTTCAATATATATACATGTATATAGTTACTGTATGTAAATAACTTTGAATCTCTATTTAAATTTACATTTCACTGTTTGCTTTTAGTTCCTGCAGTGAAAATATTGAGTTTAAATACCTGCAGTGAAAATATTGAGTTTCATAATTATGAAAATGGCATTTTATGAGGGGACGTCATTTTAGTATAATACATAAGGGTAATTACTATTGTATTAAGCAGTTTGACTTATTGCATTTATTTGTGCTTTTAAACTCAAAGATTTATGATTGATCGTTGAATAGAGATCAGAGTGTTATATTTTTGTCAGCATTTATGACTTCTACGGCATGGTCAGTAAAGTATTAAACAGTTTTCAGAAAAAAACATTACTAATGCAACACTTATTAAAGTCAAATGGAAAAATTATTTTTTACCATTTACCGAGATTTGGCATATACCACCTTCAAGTTACTAATAATGTATGCTTATTATAGGTGCTTTTAATTAGGAGAGAGTAATCCTGTCCTACAAGTTTTTACCGAATAATCTTGCCAAACTATGTTTTCAAATGATGACAAGAAGTTTAACAAACTCCTCACCGTGATTACCTCCCTTGGCAGATTACTAATAAGGGGAGGCCATTGCGTAGTTGTTAGTTTAAAAACGGGTTACTCTCTTCTTGGTTTACAAAGAAAGTGCTATTTTCAGGTGTTCATTTGTACACAAAAATGTGCTTTTTCACTGTTGAATTGTTGGCAATATGTTGGTCGATATTGTTTAGCGTAAAATTTTGTTGAATTTATTTTACAAAATTTTAGTAGATATATCTTATGTGAACAGAATCTCAGTTTTTCAAGCTGCCATAGATATGACTGAGGTCTGTAGAAATCTTGCCATAAGTTATATTATTGGCATGAAAGTATGTTTGAAAAAGTAAGTTCTCGGCCCTCTAAATTACTAGCAAAAGTCAAACTGGATCAAATAAATAATGTTGTGCACCAAAAAACAAGTCAGTAAATTTTATGATTAGTAAAGAACAAGAAATCCTTTGTGCTGAATCTTTAATATTTTTGTGTTCCCCATTGTTTTATGAAGACTATTGTACATGTAGAGGCAATAAAAAGAAAATACTCCTAAAATTTTCGTCATTCTTTAGCACCAGTCAATTGTTACTCACCACACCCCCACACCCTGAAATAGGAAGTAGCAAGGACTGTGACCTGTATTTTCAGTCCATGGGTATTGGGCCAATTTTGGCGCGAAAACAAAACAAACGTGTAGTATGGATTTTTATGCGGACTGCATCAAATTGTGGAAGCTCTGTCCTTATTGACCTCTGTGCTGACCTTTGTAGTCTGGGACGCAGCATATTCCTTTTATTAGATAAAGCTGTATTACTTGGAATCTTAATATAAAATTAAGTGGTGCTTTTTAAAGCTTCTCCCCGTACGGATATTATATGCATATGAAATTGTGGCATTCGGTCGGTGCATTTTTAGTCGCACATTTTTAAATAAATATTCATCGCAAGCTATACAAAATGGAGCATCGTCTCCTATTAAATGGTAAGAATGTGTACCTCTAGTATGTCCAATTCTACATCTTAAGAAGAACAACTTGATCATGAAAGTTAAGGAGGGATAGAGATTGTGATTTATCCAGCTGCTAAGGTAACGTACCAGACATTCGATTATACTCGCGTAACCTTTCCGCATTTGGCGCCAGAACAGTCAAATGGTTACGTGGACCTGACTGTGATGTATGCAGTTGCAAGTAAAAATGCCAACATGTTACACTTTTGCGCTAATCTCAAAAATAGTCCATCACTTTCATGCAGTACGCTATGGGAGATAACTATTGCAAAACTTTGTGACTTAACACTCGTGCCTTAATTTTCTTGTCATGCTATCTTTTACTTCTTCTTCTTCTTCGTGAGATTTTCATTGGAAAAGTGGGACCTCAAAGCAGCCAGTGAAAAATCGCTCGCTTTAATTCTATGACAACAAGTTTATCCGGGGGAAAAAGGAAACATTCTGTTTTCATAGCTATAATTAACTATAATGGGAATAAATTTTCTTTCAGTATCAACTTTACAAATTTTATTTCAAATTTGATTGATCAGAGTGCGGGGCATTAAGTTTTTTATCCAACAGTATGTTTATTCAATATGTGCCCGGATGCCAATGCGTACAGAATTGTTTATATGTACTTCGTTCAATAAGTGTAAATAGTTGACCTTTACGTTTTTTGTGCTCTGTGGAATTTAGGTTTATATATATTTCAATATTTGACCTTTAAGTTTTATGTGCCCTATGGAATTTAAGTGTGAAATGATGTAATTCCGGTTTGGTATAGTAATGCCGCTCTAGTTTATTTCAATATACATTTACCTCAATAAGTGAAAATCGCCTTACTCAAAATGCCGCGTTAAAGTAAACTGCTATCTTGTAACGTGACGATCTATGCATCTGTTGTCCATCATTCTTTTCTTTTGTAAAACTCTTGAAAATCTGTAGGTCAAAATAAAATAGAAAGAAAGAATACATAAACGTCTTGACAATGGTGTTACAATTGTAATACAGGTATAAGCAATCTGTAAATAATGAAAGTGCACACTTTGAAAATAATTAATTTTTAGAATAATTAAAATGGCAGGAAGAAAAAAAAACAATGTTTTATGAGTCACTTTTACATTCCGAATCAATAAAAATATTAGGGGAATAATGTATGTATCCGGCATGAGAGTACGGACCTCGGACATGTCACTATTCATGTCCTTAAAGGTTATTATCTACCAAATGTGACCTATAAATTTTGAATTCAGTAGCTTACTGACTGATTCTAAACATGTACTACGTCGATTTTTGTGATAATAGTATTTTGATGCACGGGAGGCCAATGAGACCATCATGGAAAAAATTAAGATGTAAATTGCTGCCAAAATGAATGGTCATGCATGTCTGTCGGACGAGCTTGACTGACTGATAAGGTTATGCAACTCGTATTGGTTCCTAGCTGACACATGTGGCCGACATGCAAGAGCATTATTTCCAGTTTTTCACAGACGAATTTTGAATAAATTCTTAATAAAAAAGGGGAAAAGGTTCCTTTTTCATTTTTTGTATAATACTGAGAATAACCCAAACCGGTGAAATATAAATTACATAGTAATACGTACATAGTATGATTCAGCAAATGATATAGAACAGATATTTTTGTTTTTGTTTTGTCTTATGCGAAAATAAAAACTTAGTTCCCCTTAAATCTAACATGCACTCCTATTTGTTTGTCACTTTATGCCTGTCTTGTAAATGTACAAAATATATCAAAATATATCAAAACATATGAACTATTAAGTTTTTAAAACAAATCTTTAAAAACAATGAATGGCTTAAGAATGACTTAAGAATTGACAAAAGATTTTTTTGGTTTCGATCTTCTATTTCATCCAATTGCAATTCTTTAATTATTATTTTAATTGTGAAAACTTAAGCACCTTACCACCTATCTTTGCAAGATAGATTGACAGCTCCTTTACCTGAAAACTTTGAATTTTCCAAACATGCTTGGAAAGGGGCGAGTGATAAGTTATCTTGAAGTGGTCTTCAACTTTCCTAAAGGTTAATATATTTTTAGACAAAATCGTTTAATATAATTGTCAAATCAAAAGAATTAACTTAGAGGTGGAAAATGAAATTTGCAGACGATATTCAAACAATACCTCATATTCAAACAATACCTCATATCTACCGATCTGCTCTCTATATTTAAGTTGTATATACATGTATCTTTCGGGACGCTGTTTTGTAGAAGGCTTAACAATGATATGATGCACTTTTCCAAGATGAAATTACTGAAATACTTAGTTTGAAACAACACAGAAAATATAAGCTGAAGGCCGCTGTAAAAAAAAACGTGCTTAGTCTTTGTCAACAGTCTAGGGTCAGACTAGTCTATACATCTGTGCAGTCTGACCAAGCTCTATACAGTTGGCTGACCAACTTTACAAATTGTCATCTTGATATCCCTTAACTTGATAATGGACTGTCCGAGAAAATGGAAGAAAGACTTGTTTTTTAAGAACTTCAGCAGGTTAAAAGTTAAGTTCTTTCAACGCCTCCAGGGAAACCTTCTTCCACCCACTCCTTACCTATATCATGAAAAGCAAGCGAACTCAGTACATAAATTATAGTGAAATTTCGTGCTCTTTTTTTCTTTTTCTTTTTTCTTAATCTCAATGATATTTTAAGCTATCAAGATTTATTGGACCACTCGAGGTAATTTATTAGACTTGCTGTTGACTCAGCATTTGGTGCTTAGAGAAGTCCTTGAGCTTTAACCTTACACCTACGTTTTTTTTCCTTAAAATTAATTTGCATGCTCAACTTCTTATCAACTTATTATTTCGTATTGAATTCCATGGCGGATAGATTAATATTTAGAATGTCTCGAGTACGTTTAATTTCGTGCGGGGTCAGATTTAAACCACACACCACAGTGCAATTTTCGTAAAATTTAATGTTCAGCAAGAAATTAGTTTTTTTACATTTAAGAATTCACAAAAGCGGTTACGAAAATTCTTCAAGTTTGTATTTTGTATTGTCAAAATTGTCTATCCAAATATTCTCTTCCGTGAATAGTATTTTAATGTCTTGAAAAATAATGAAAAGATCGATTTAGTGTAGGCGTTCCTGTGGCTATCCTGTCCGGGATATATTAATGGCATGCACT